CACCATTGTTGCGCACTGACAAAACATTTGATTTGTAGCATCGTCGTGGTCGTTAAGATCCACGAGATTGTGAAAATAAAGGAGTATACTTTTTTAATTTGATGGGGGCACAAAGAAAGCAGTCTCTATAAAGTCCATTGAAGTAGTTCGGCGGGGTTTCTGACTAAAAATCAATTTCGCCTTCTGACAAGCAGAGCAGGACACAAAAAGTCACAGAGTGGTGCAAAATTTCTTTCTCGGCTCATTCGAAACAGCGGTACCCAAGGCAGTCAGAAAACAGAACCAATTTAATTTATTAAAGACATGATTTCAAGGCTGAAATTTAAGCTTTTAAAAAATAGAAAAGTCAAATCTCAAGTCTCTGGGATCGATCTGATCATCTCCAATTGGTTGGAAATACTCAATACGGTAACTTGTCCAAGTAAAATCTGTCTTTTTGGTAAGAAAAAATTTAAAAACGTTTTGGGGAACTGTTTATATCTTCGCTAGTTCACGAGCAACACACGTATTAACAAGTTCGTGAGCAAACCAGTCGAAAATAATTATCCTTTTTTTCGGCTGGAAATCCTAAAAAAAGGAGATAATCATTACCAGCTATTTTGCTACATCTCGGTGATTCTGCTGTTTGCGTCTGATTGTTTCGAAAGTAGACAACAGCGACCGAACTCTTTAGTTTGCAAGCTGTGTTGGTCTGTATTAGACAGAACCCCTTTAAGAGAGATACGATATTGGAAAAAATCCGCAACCGAATAGTTAATGGTAATAAAAATACACATTTGATAGGAAGGGAATCAAAATAAACATTTTGATATGAGGTGTCAAAAGTTTCTTAAATTGTATGAACTCCTAAAGTGACTTTTTCTTTGACCAAAATTTAAATAAATATTTAAAATATTGCCTGCAGTAAAATTTATTGAGAAAAGTCAAGATAATGTTAAGTCTTGTCACCTCAAGTAATCCTATTTTCAAAAATATTCAATCAAAGAAGTAGGAATGGTTAACTTATTTTGAAGTGTTGTCAACACCATAAAATTGTCAAACAAACTGTCGCCCTCTTTCAAGCGATTGTATTCTCTTCAGAAGTAGCAATTATTCACAAAATATTATGCATATTGACAATTTTTTACGGTGACTGGCGTCTCGCTGTTTTGAATTTGAATTTTGGACTCGGAATAATTTTCTTGTTCGTTTACCGTGATAAAAATCGCATAAATTTGTTGCTGAATAAAACGTCGTAAAAGTCAAATTTGATGAAAATTTTAAAAAAGGTGGGATGAACACTAAATCTCATTTTAAATGTTAACTACGCCCTCCACTGTATAGAATGTCGTTAATATAGTCGCTACGCTCGCATTTTCAAGACATCCTTTCCCGCCCGCTGTTCGCAAGGTATGTTTTCTCCGGCATTGCGCGCAGGACACTTCACAGTGGAATGATTTGAATCATCTTTTTTTTATCATTAACAACCTTGCAAGTCGGTGACATGGTGCTTCACACAGCTATCTACTAAAAAAAACTTTTGTCATGTCAAATGTATACGGGAGGACATGCAACGAGTTCTGTGGTAGTCATTTGCATAAAAAGGATTTAGCATAAAATATTGGAGATTTGTCCAAGGAAAAGAATCGACGCACATTTGGCTCACTGAATGAATACCCGGACAAAAAAATTTTGCTGTTTCAAACAATTCAAGAGTGCCAGCTTTAATTTCTCAAAATGAACACTTGAAAAATAAATAGTGCGATAGCACCAAGCGCTGGATGAGTAAATCGTACGCCGGTCCTGGAAAACAACCTAACATATAGGTTATAACATTGTATTAACACCCGTGTAAGACATTTTAACCATGAAAATCGAGCTAAAAGTTGAAAATATAGACTGATCTATTGCATAATGCCTTTGAGTAAACAGAACTAATACGTGTCGAACAAAACTGGCGTCTCTGATCGTTTTCACTTGAGCTGAAACTCACGCGTTTTGACACTCTGAAACCCAATGATCAGATCAAAAGGAAAGCTATGATAAAAAATATTTTCAAATTGAACAGCAGTAATACTTCGCTTGATTTAAAGCGAGATTAGAAAATGTTTGACTGCAATACACAGTATCTCTAAGCAATAACCGCAAATGACAGTACGCGCCTGAGGGAAACGAAACATGTACAGACAGAGTGTGGTTAAAGTCGCTTCATACCTAGTTTCGCTGTCCGTTGGAGTAAGTAGATCTCGGAATATGGATCTTCTTGGAGCTGCAGATTCACTATGAGAGCGCCTCTGTCGCCCTAGCTCAGCAGGTGTAGGATCCATTATTGTTGCACAGAGCAACTTGTCGTCTTTATTGCAATTTTCGGTTTTGGATGTTTCAGTTAAGTTTGACGCGCGCCCTCACAACGCATGCTCTAATCTCGACAAGTTCGCTACGACACCTGTTATCTGTTGATTGAGTATTTGGCATTGTATCACCTTGTTCTGGTGCGTCCTCCTCGACCTTTTCGTATTTTTTTGTAGTCTTCTAATAAATGTACGCCTTTCATTTTTTAAACCATTACCTCAAATTATAGTTTGATTGCTCGTTAGAAGCTGTATGGGGGTTACAAATTCTGTAGCTAAATCATGCCAATTAGAATGGAAAGTTAAAAGTAAAACCATAGAAAGCCACCGACTTTGTCAACAATATTGAATCTACAACGACACCAGCTATATTTCATCGATCCTGGAAGGTTTCTTCGGAGGTTGAAGAAAGGAAAATATGAAATTCTTTCGAAGCAATCGGATGTTGAAAATCATCGCGAACTCCTTTCAGCAGCTGCCCGCTTCCAATGACATAAACAAGCTATTTTCATTTACTTGGCAGGAATATCATTACTTGGAAAAAATTGCATATTACGCTGAGTTGAGATTTCACAATAGTAAGAGAATTCTAATTGTATAATTTACAACATTTTAGGTATTTTACAGAGCAATTTCTGCTCTAATTCAAAAACAATTCAGAGTTTTATAGAAATTAGTCGTTTAATAAGACTCTGAAGTATGGAATGTTTACTCACTTGGTTGTCATTCTTCGTGTGGTCACGATGTCCGGGATTTTTTTTTAACTTGGCATCAATTTGATTTGGGAGAAACCACTTCAGATAGGCCACGCCGTTCTTCCACCTCAAGACACTGTACAAAAATCGAAGCGATGCTGTCGATATTAGTCGCTACTCTCTAGTGTATTGATTTCACCTCTACTGATCACAAATTCATTTACGCAAGGTACTTCTAAAGATCCAATTTTCAGCTTTCAATTTGACACCTCACCAGATGAATAATTTCTTTTGAAAATTATCTCATTCAGGATTAGGTATACTCTTTTAGGATTCGTCGAGAAATTTCAAAGTTGTAAAATGAGGTGGGGCTGAATATGTCGAAAAGTTTTAAAGAAAAATGTAATCAAGTAAATAATTGAGTATATTGAAACCAACTGCTACTTACTAAATTGCTAAATTTTTATTTTTTATTAGGTTCCTTTTGTTATTATTTTCTTACTTCAGGATGGAATATGGGCTTTCCTGAAGGTTTAGGGAATTTTTTTTTTGTCACAAAAAAAATACTCCGAAAGAAAATTGTCGCTTGAAATTTCTATTTCTGCCGCCATTGAAGGCCAACGTTTTCACAAATCGTTTCAGGTCCATCTTTGTGGTCAGAAGTAATTTTACCTGCAGTTTCTTCAGACAGAGCTCATAAATATATGATGCGTTTTCTAATTTTTATCAGTCGACCTTTAGCTGTAAAAAATTTGTTTTATTTTTGACTCTCACCCAAAAAACTATCACATCGCATTGTTCGATAACAGTAAGAAATATTCAATATATTCTTTTAAACCACTGTAAAAGTCATGAGTTTCTGTAAAGGAGCCCCTTGAGTTCTTTGATTGCGTTTTGAAAATATCGAAAGTCACGACTAGGTGTTCTTCAGCTAAGGAACAGCTGCTCCGAATGCCACCTCAAAGGGAAGGTTTTTTTCATGTTTTTTACTCTTCCAAACGGAACTTATCAAAATCTCAAATCAGTTGGTAATATCTTGTGTCAACTTCGGACGGATTGTGAATTGTTACTGTTGCTTCTTAAGTATTTTAATAAATAATGATGAATGAAGTAATAACCGTATACCTATAAACCATATTGAGAAACAATGGATTTCTTGAACTACCGGAGGTAGTCTGGAAACGTTAAGTTTTTCAGCAGTTTTATTAGAACCCTATCGGGTAACAATGTGCTCTTCTCTGAAGACTCAGTTCGAAATGACTGACAAGGAGAGGTTTTTTTTGCTCGCGTGTTTGATTTTACTTAGTTTTAATATTTCATTTCCCGCACTAATATACTGGCATATACCATGAGTGGTCTGGAAACGAAAGGCAACTCTGGGTAATTTCTATCTGTCATCTAAACACGTGCATCCGACGGAACTCATCGCAACTTATAATTTATCCTCTAGTTTATTATCGTTGATGGAAAATTCAATTATACTGGTGCTTTTGTTTTCACAACTGATGGTCTTTTTATGTTTTCTCTCTCCCTTAGTAAATTCTATTATTTATGGGAATACTAGGTGTTTTTTTTCACACATTACAACATTTTATTAAATAATTTACTGATGTACAATCTAAGATCATTTCGGGGAAATAAATCAGCGTGTAAGTTTCAGTCCTCACATGTTATGGCGAACAAGCCAAGAATCTATCCCACAAAACAGCAGTTTTTCACTCTGGAAAACAATGACCGTAAAGCGTAAATCAATCTTAAAACGACCTTCTACAGTGGAATGTGGTCCAATACTTCACCTGTCTCAAAAACTCTCGTCACCCTCTGAACCAATCAGATGCAAAGTTAAACCAGTCTTGACTTGGTCACCCGTTTATTGGCTGTTATGATAACTTGATGTTAGCTTTTAAATGATTTAAAGCTCACTTTATTTCTAGCGCAAGTTTCATCAGGAGAATTAGCAAATCGTTCACATGCATTACAAGTGAGTGGAGTCCATGAGCTGAAGCTCAGCGTCATCATCATCAATATTTAATCGATTGTATCGTCCGTTTCGGTTATCAGACCGATTGGCAGCCGTCAGCGCCTCCTTAGCCCTGTGAAACGTGTCTCGCACATCTCTATGTGTCTTTATTTGGAAGGCGTCATTAATCCTCTTTTTCATATCTTCCTCTGCCGCTATGTACAGTCTCTCGCGGAACAAACGTCCGAGTACCTCTTTCTCGAGCTCGTCGTAGTCGTCATTGTTCGGAAGTACATCGTCTTCGAAGCAACATCTCCGAATGCAAATGAGACCGAGCGAAAACAGAGTGGCCGCGATTAGGATGCCAAAACCAAGGATCTGGGACTGCATGTGAACTTTAAGGAGAGACCGCTGATCGTGTAATGTCTAAGGGAGCAACAAACATAGTAACATAATTGAATTACCTTAAAATGGAGCAGGGACATAGAAAGGCAGTTTGGGGGCAAGAGCTGGGGCAAAAAGTCAGAGTTTCGTCACTGCTTTCTAAATCAAGTTTTCGGTGATTGACTTCACGTGCAAAAATGTCTATTTTTCTGTCGATAATAAGTCTACCACTGAAGTGAATTTCTGTTAGAAACACCGAAAATGCCATGGTTTAAAAAATAGATGAAATACTTCAAATGATTTGCACTTCCATTCACGCAGTGTCGTTATTTGGGAAAGAATAATAATGAAAAGGACTGTTATCAGTGCGACTGACTGACGTTTTGACAAACCTGAGCGTAAGCCATTATCAGAATCGAGTGACTTGACTGATCACTTAACGGAGATGACTGAGGTCGCCGAGGTTGTCAAAAGATCAGTCACCGTCGATGACACCAGTCTACCTCCATTCCAGCAACTGCACTACGCGATCAACTGAATAAGAGCAAAACTACTCTAATAATCACTGAAAGCTCTTTCTTGCCTTTGAAATATCACTCTCTCTAGGATTGCTGTGGCACGACTCATTTGGCGAGCCAACAGTTAAACACACGAAGAAGTCCCCTTTCAACAGAGCGATGGTTATGTAGGCCATGGGAGCGAGAAACGGTTGGAAAAGTTTAGTTAGAGACTTCATTCGGTTGTTACACCTCTCCTTGACATCTGGCATTCTGCTGGTCTTCAAAATAGATTGCCAAAAGCCCCCGCTCATCATGAAACCGAGGCCCAGGAGGAACAGGGCGGGACCCACCATCATAACGAGGCTGTACATGAAGTAACTCGTACAAGGACATCTGTCACGAGAAACATATCAACATTGTCAACAAGTTTCTTGAAAACATGATCCAAACAAAGTTGTTGTAAGCAATGGTTTTCTGCATCTCAAGAAATGCTTGTGTTCCTTTGGCGGAACTTGTGATGCACTATTTCAGACACAAAGTGAATTCCGTATTTTCGACGTTTTCCTAAAATTCACGTTGTCAACTCGAAATTTACACATGCATTCAGTTGACGTTTTGTAACTGAAAACTTAGCTAATCTGAAAGAGAAAATTTCAGGCATACTAAAACTTAAATAAGTATCTCTCTCAGTATCTCTCAGTCGAACGAAACCACTCAAACAAGGGTAACAATTCCGGAGAGAGAGAAAGAGATTTATCTGAGGAAAAATTAAATTAAGGAAATCGAATCCACTGTTTTTTTACATCTAAAAATCATTGTAAGAGTCGTGCGTCATCGTAACTTTCACCCAGATTTTTATGAGAAAGACTTGATAAATAAACAACACATTGGCGCTACAGTATAGCATACTGTCCAAACTCTAAAATGTAACGACATTAAACAGCCCTCTTACATCACCGCTGCTAAAAAGTATGAAAAAGAAGCTTTTTTCGCGTGTAAATTTTCGAGTATGTATGTGTTTTTCTTTTATTTTACCACTTATCAATTATTAATGCACTAGGTTTGTGGTTTTTAAATTGAGATTGAAATACACGAAGCAAAATTGATCACACAAAATCTTGTTTAATTAATTTGTACTTAGTTCAGATGAGCACAAAACAAATACTTGTCCTTGTCCTCATATGGCGTAGACCGAATTTCACCTCGTGGAATTCGTAACATTTTTTACAATTCTTTTCTTATTAGAATTATGTTGAAATTCAACAGCAGACAGCCTTTTTGTTCCTAAAAAGAAAATTCATTAAGACAAGGGCCAGCTGTAAAATTCAATTCTGGATGCCTTTATGTTTAAATGTTATCGAGAAAAAACGGGAAAATAATATCAAAATATGAAGTGATATGGCTAAACATTTTGCTATATTATCTCCGGATGAGCTACCTTCTTGCTTAATTCTTCCGGATAATTTACTTTCCACTCTCTCTGTAGGGGAAGTTGTTCACAAGTGATTAGTTATTTACGAACAAAATTTGACGGTTTTAGGAGTTGGCTATGAATTGACTCCTTTTGTTCGACGGAAACGAAGATCATGAAAAATCACGCAAGCATGAGAATATTCCACGTCATTTAGGGAAAATTTGTTGTCCAAGAAAAATAAAATCTTTGAAGAGACCACTTACCTGAGAAATTGGGTTCTAATAAACTCCTCGAATCCATAAATAATCATCAGAATGATGGAATTCTGAAAAGGTCCTTTCGAGTATTTGTTACGTCTTTCAAGTATTTGAAGAAATTGCTCCATTCTTGCTCTGGTTCTCAAGCAAAATCTTTGTTCTCTGAGCTAATCGACGGACGAAAGTGACTTGCAGACTAAAAGGTGATTTGATCAGATTCCCTTGTTCAGCCTATTCAGCAGCTGTGAATATTGATCACTCTTTGTTAAGCTTGTTATCTTCAGTTTTATGACCTGAATGTATTGTTTTGAGGTTTTTTTTTAATCTCGATTTTCCTTTTCTCTCTATAGGCTGCGAAACCAACCGCAGGAAAATTGCTCAAGCTAAAAGTTGACGATCGTTGGAGGACTACCAATGAAATGTCATGAATCATTTATATCTTTGTCATTTGTACTGACGGAGACAAGCCAATGAAAATGAAGATTTATGAAGTGGGTATATTAATGTGAAAGTCAGTATGAAAATTGATGTAAAGATGCGTTTGGGCTACAAATATTTGGATTAGGGATTCTTTTGAAGAAACACTTACAATATACGAGTATAGAATCGATCCTCGCTGTTGTGAACACTACTGAACTAGTAGTTCAAATAAGACCTGAAAAATAAGACCTTATTTCAACTACTAGTTCAGTAGTGTTTATAACTGCGAAGATCGATTCTATATTCGTTTCTTCAACCGCTGTGCACACATATGATTTTCATATGTTTATAGCCATTATTCACCTAAAAAATGGTTATCAAACTGTCTCTGAACAATAAATCATTGCAAAGAAGCTTCCCTTCATCACTGGACTTTCCAAGGAATAGAGACTTTTTCAACTACAATCTATTCATGTCTATTGAACAACCGTTACAGCTTTGCTTCGAGATATTGGTAATTGTGAAGAGCTCCCTAAGAAACCCCGTTGGCCGACTGTCGGCCGACAGATAACCAACAAGCCACCAACAAGCTGCCAATACTGGCGATATATTCGAGCAAAAAAGGAAAAACAAACTTTGATTGTACTTTGTGTATACTTTTAAATGTTGAAGCTACTCTGCATACCTGCATACCTCCCTGGATTACCTAGACATGAGAGACTTTCATATCAAGCTGAGTCTAGGACATTACTGAAGTAACTATGAAGGGACTCTGCAGATTTTTTAAAACTGTTTTAAGAGGATATAAGTAAACCAGAGAAGGCATCATAAGATGAACACATGTGTTGAACTGAGTAACAGTTAAACTCTACTCTCAAGATTTAATATACTGGTAAAACAGGAAATGCCCGTTGTCAAATTTAACCCCACCCACCTCTATCTCTTTCTTTCGTTTCCAGTTCCCTTTCTACGTTAATCTCTCCTCTTCATTATAACCATCACACAGACTTTGCAATGCTGAAATTTTTAAGTACTCTGGATAGCACATCGTAAAAAGTAAAAACTGATAATGCTAAATCTTATCCCGCGTCAATCTTGTTTCCAAGACACGGCCTAAGGCAGTGAAATGCCTCCCTAATCCTGACATTTTTCAGTCATTCCATTACTTTTTCCCCTCTTGTATTGGCCTGTCTCTCTCCATTGTCTCTATCTCTGATTTCTTTAATTTTTATTAAAATTTGTCATTTTTACCCTTCTCTGTGCTCGGAAAAAGATTCGTTACATCAATATTACCCTAACTAAACATTTAATATTGGCATTTAGGAGAGCAAAAACAACTTTAACATATGAAGAAGGAGGGCATTGAGGTTTTCGGTCGTGCCAAAAAAACTTCGGTTTTGGTGTTCATTGCGGTTTGCAGATTTTAGCATTTGATTTTCGGTTTTCAGTCCGTAAAAGTCACTAATGGGTTGTCCGATTTGGTATCCGACGTGGTTTCTTCTCGATTTGAGCGGCAATCATGCGCCTCCACTGATCTCTCGTAACCGCGAAACCTCAGTGTGCTACAATTGTCACCAACTTGTTGTCACTAACTGCATCGGATCGATTTGGGTTTTGATTAATGGGATAGGAAAATTTATCGGTTTTAACAGTTTTGAATGCGGTTTTGGTTTCGATCAAATTTTTCTGCGGTTTAGGATGATTTTTTCTACGTTTTTATGGTGTCTAATAGATCCCAATGCCCCCCTCATGAAGGATCCTGACTGGAATAGAAAAGAAAAAAATTTTTACTTTGATAAAATCTTGAAATCCAGAATGATATGAAAAAACCATGACCATATTGTTGAAAGCCTAGGGAAAAAAACACCTTAGGAGCAAGCCCATTAGTGATTAAGTGGGATAACATTACATGCCACTTATCAAGGTATAAATCATCTTTAAAATAAAAGAGATAAACACTCAACTTCTTTAAAATCTTGACTGAACCCATGATCATAGTGATTTCAGTTACCCTTTAAAAAGTTACAACACTTAAGCCAAATGCACGAAGTCCTGCGTTTAATAACACAAGTTCATATTTCACACCCTTTAATTTGCTTTATATTAGTAACCCACATATTTTGTGGCCACATCATCATTTAATTGAAAAAAAGGAAGTTCATAGATCTTAACTGACAATTATATGAAAAACAATTTTAAGAAACAAAAAATTCAAAAAATGAAATTCATTTTAAATATTGAGCCTCTCTAGGTGCCATAATTGTTCAAATTTTCAAGTATGCTTAATCACAAGCTTACAAAAAAAAAAGTTTACATTGATAATTTATAACACATTTTTGTTTCTTTGCACCATAAGAGCAATGTTGACCCCAATTAATTCATAGCACTAATTTTAAATTCTTGTCAGGTAAGATCTTTTCCTTCAAAAATTCATGGATAGTTACATCACTTTAGCATATGTATGCACAAAATTGTCAGAATTGACAAAAAAAAAAATGCAACACACATTTCTCTTATAGAATTGGTGTTAATTGTCCTGTGAAAAATGTGCAAAAATTATTTACTACTATCATTTTTGTGCAGATAGACACAAAAACATTTTTCTAACCTATTTTACATTATACACAGCTCAAAAAAAATAAATAATTTCTGCACCTTACTAAATACCATACAGTAATTTCTATTTTTCCCTTTTTTTTTTTCAAAACACCTTACTCAAAGCACACTACCAAATAGCAAATACCACGACGATTTTTTAAAAGCACCTCACTCAAAGCACACTACAATTTAGAAAACACCATATAACAATTTTTTTGTTTTTCTTTTTCTGTTAAAGCATCTTGCTCCATGCACACTACCAAAGAGCAAATAACATATGGAAATTTTTTTTCTAAGGACTTGGCTCAAATCACACTATGAAATAGCACATACCATAAAGCAATATTCTGAAGCTCAAAGCCTACTACAAAGTTGCAAATACCATATATAATTTTTTTCTTTCTTTTTTAAAGCACCTTGCTTAAAGCACACTACCAAATAACAAATACTGTTGCAAAGATATTTGCAATTATATCTATTAAGCTAACTAACTATTAAAATCAAACAAAGCATGTATGATGCCAGCATCACTTTTGGTCTCAAAAAAATTCAGTAGGTAGCGATACAAAAGCAAAATAACTGCAAATAAAGTTCATGCAACATAGCAAAAAAATATGCACTTAAAATAAATGAACCCAAGTAAATAAAATATACACAATGATACACTAGATGAGTGCCAATGGTTAATTTACAGACTGACACTGCCAAAAAAACATGCAACTGTCACTAAACACTGTATACATACATGATCTAACAAAGTCAAACACATGTCTGTGGCCTTCTACTTACAGTTGAGGAATTACATTGTGTCAACTATTTATAACATTCATACATAACCCACTCATCAATTACATCTACAACATCACTTCTTTTCATTCCCTCAAGTATTCTCCAAAATTTTCTGACACAGCTACCCTCCTGAGCATAATAAAACTTTGTTGTTATTAGATCAGTTGGGTTGTCAAACTGGCCAAGAGTCAGCCACAAAGTATAATCTCTGGTCAATCCAATCTCTTCTCCAAGAAGGCAGAAGTCATCAAAAGCAAAATGCTTGTCACTAAACACTGTATGCATTCTTGATTTAAACAAATTCAAACACATGTCTGTGGCCTTCTACTTACAGTTGAGGAATTACATTGTTTCAACCATTCATCCTTAACCCACTCATCAATTACATCGACAACATCACTTCTTTTCATTCCCTCAAGTATTCCCCGAAATTTAGCAACACAGCTACCCTCCTGAGAATTATAAAACTTTATTATCATTAGATGAGTTGGGTTGTCAAACTGGCCAAGCCACTCAGTATAATCTCTGGGCAATCCAATCTCTTCTCCAAGAAGGCGGAAGTCATCAAAAGCCAATTGCTTTAAATTAAGCTTTGCACACATCCTTGAATGAAATGTCAATGGGAAAGCAGACATTTTTTTGCTTAGGAGGCTGTTCTGGAAATCCTGTGGAATGCCACTCAGTGAGGTTCCATTTGCCTCATTTAGGTAGAGGCCAGTGGTTGAAGTATGCTGAGTTTTCACAGATGGTTTTGCTAATCCTATTAAATTGATAAGGAACATAACCTGTTAGAATAGAAATCAGTTGAAAGGTCACTTGTTTCCCTGTGCACTGGTCTGCTCTGGGTGGAAGATGCATTGTGAGAATGAAGTATCCTGCTAAAAACAGTAAAAATGACAAGCCAACCTGGCTGCATGGGAATAAAACATCACAAAATGTAATAATGTCATTCGTTTTCTATTTATGTTGTACAAAATGATTTAATTAGCATCAATTGACAAGCTTTTGGATATAAACTAACATAAAGCTTCCTGCCTGGTGTAGCCCCTTAATGGCAATCACAACAAGAAAAGTAACTGACATGAATTAACAAGATTAAAAATCTGAAATGTTACTTAATAAGTACAATGTCTACAATATATGCCATGCAGGGCCCAGTTGTATAAAGGTCAGATAATGCTATCCAATGGTTAAATTGAAAGCAAAATGCATAGCATTATCAACCCTATAGAGTTTATCCACTGTAGAACATTATCCACTGTATAGAGTTTTATCCAGTGGATAGTGCTTTCTAACCTTAAAACAACAGTAAGGGAAATTCATAGCACAAGCCAAATGGCACAAACCCAAAGAACTTGATCTATTTTCCAAAGTACATGACTATAAGCAATACTGCTAATTCTCACAAATTACACACTTTCTGGCTTCCTTGGTTGACACCTGGCATTAATGGATTCTGAGGAATTCCTGTTGAAAACATCCTCATCTGAAAGCTCAGTTGATGCTACTAGACCTGTAGAAATAATAAAAAAATAAAAACATAAAGAAGTTGTCTAAATATTTTACATAAACAACATTGAAAGTTTCTTCCATGTGTCAGAGTCTCTAGGGAAGAAGTCATTTTTATCCAATTAAACTATAAAAAAGAATTATACCAAATTAATGATGCAGTATGTGCATGGCCATCATGACATCATTGTCAATCATAGATCTCACTGAATTAACAACATTATCTAAATTTACCTTTACGTGCACTCCATAATCATATAATCCATATAATCATGCTCTTCATCTCTAAAAAATCAAATGATAAAGTTTCAATCAAAAATGTGACAAAGAACTTACTGTATCCAATTCTTGATGGTTTGTTAGGTTTTGGACTTCCAACACACTGGATACGATTGGAATTTAATGTTCCCTTTTGGACCTTGGTATTAAGAACCCCTGGATGTGAAAATGAGCGGGTAAATCCTCTTTGGGTTTCCTTTGTTTCAGCTGGAGGCTGAGACTGCATTTGCTGATGAACTAGTGAGTCTAATAACTCTGACTCAGAAGTCCTCTCTCGAGTTTCTGGAAAAAAAAAACGTGAAGCAAATTATTTCAAGATTGAAAAAGTTCTGCAGGGAGTGAAATTGGATACTAAGGGAGGTGCTAGTGACAAAAAAAATTTGAAAAAAGGCTGAGAAAAAATGTGTATACTTTATTTCCTTTCTCCACTCACTATCATCTTTTAACTCTAACCACTAACCAATAGAACTCTTGCAAAAAATATTCAACACTTGCTCCCCTAGTAAACTGGAGATGAATCTGAAAGGCAGTGAATTTGGCCTATTCTATTGTGTGTGATTTCCTTTGTAACAAAATTAGACTTATTTGCCTTATGTCATTGGTAAAAAAATGGAAATGTATTCCAATTTTTCCTGTTAGAACAAATTTCAATACATAATTTAGAAAAAGAAAACAACATTTAATGTTTCTTTGACAACTGGTATTAAACCAATTAAGGCACAATTTCTTCCCCTTCATTTCAAAGAGATTTGATTTCTGAGCCTAATTCAAATGCTTCTACATTAAGAAAAAAATCAAAGTACATGTATGTCACCTCAGAATACCGAACTGATATGCACATCAAATGCCCACAATAACTTGTGAATATGCAATGCATTTCCAATGAGTTAAGTGAGCTTGCAAATGAGGTCATTGTATAGAGAACAGATGGTGCATAATTAAACAATTAATTACAAATAATAATAAAATCAAATTTAATTAACAAGTCTTTACCTGAGAAATTCTGTTCACTCTTCCCTGTGCCTAGTTCAGGGTCATGCTCGGATCTCTGTATTTGGCCATCTGCTGGATCAAAATACATTGTGTTTCCATGCCCATCTGATGCTCCAAGATGGCAGCAATAACAAAACCAACTCATCAGGGTATCTTTGATCACATGCCAGCCATAGACCGTACTAAGGATCACAAAAATGACAATAGCTAAAGATAAAATTGTTCCAAGCACAATAACTACAATTTCCCAAGCCTCAAGACCTCCCTGGTCTTTGTCATTGTTGTTGCTTTCAGCAGTGCTTTTGGGAGGTGTTTCAGGACAATTTAAATTATGTTCCCTGCATTGTTTGCTACTAGGAAATCCAGAGTCCTCACACTGTTTTTCATGATATTTGTCACTTTGCCCACAACAGTCACTGCATGGATGACATTCACCACTGATCAAATCCATATAAAATCCTTTGTGGCAGACCCCTAAACAAACTGTGGTATCCTCTTCCGAGGTGCACTTTCCAGTTTTTTTCTCATGCTTGTCACACATCATGCAACGTTTACAGGTGGAATAATCATTAGTTTCTGAGAAATTCAATCCTTCCACACAATGGACACACTTAATCTTCATGCTGATTGGTATGCTAGTCCCACAGTGTACATTTAGTCCAAAAGCTGGATGACATTCAATCCCTTTACAATTCCACATGATTGAGTGTGTCTCATTAATAACTCTTTCTATTTCATCAGGCCTTGGATTACGACGCTTGGTAGCTACTTTTGCAAAACTTGTACTAATGGATATTAGAAACACCTGCAAAAAGAAGTTTCTTGGTCAAATTTTAAAAAGGAAAATTAAAATAAACATTCAGACATGTGGTTTGATGCTACTCTGGTTTAGAGATTTAATGAATGTAACTGAAGAAGTTACAATTCATAGACCCAACGTTGTAACTTCTTCCATTACATTCATTAAATTTGTAAACCAGAGTAGCATCAAATGATGTCTGATTGTCCACCTGGTTAATTGCCATTTGAACTTTAATATATCTAAAATAAACATTGAAAATTCAATTGAAAATTCATTTCTTCCTTGATTTATCTTTTACATAAAAAAAACCATCTTGATCCTATGCAAGCAAATGTCAAGTGAGAAACAACTCTCAAAAAATAGGAAAGGAGTATGTAATGACAGGGGCCAATAACAAGGATAAAATAAGACAGTCTTAAATTTCTCTTTGCTGCCAACAAAACTTTGTCTTAGTTTAGCAGGTCATTGCTAAAACTTTGACTGAAACATTGAGAAAGGGGGTAAATTTCTAAAAAAAATTTTGGTGCTGCATTGGTAAGGATTATCAAAACATAATTTGGTTTTCTCAATGGAGTATATAATTTGAGTTGGCTATACTGTTAAGTAATTCTAAAGATTCTAAACCTGAGTGTTGAAACATGACCATATTACTTTCCAAAACAGTAACAGCTACAGTTCTTCTACTAGAGAGTATTTTGTTCTTTTGTTTTGAATTGATTGGAACTATTAGTTATTTATCTTAGAGGAACTTCAATTTTAAAATTGTAATGAATTTGCATAATCATTCTTTAAATTAACATCAATCTATTGAACAAACTCATGCCCAAGTAATAGCTGATTGAAAGTCACATTTATTTTTTTGTTTTCAAAATGCATGCTGACAGTTTTTTCATATCATGTTACATTCATTTTGTTTCTGTAGGCTAAATGCAAAACAAGAGGATAAATGATGGCTGACCAAACTTAACTATGACCAAGAAATGATTTAGCCTTCTATGACATCCTTCAGCCATACAAAAGAAACAAATACTTCATGTTTTCACGGGAAATCACCCTTAAAATCATAGGGAGTGACAATGTCTAATGAGATACTTAAAAGTGACAACAGCTTTAAATTACTTTCAATTATCATATCAGGATATACATAGCACATTATGTATGAATTCATTAACAGCAATTAAAGTGACATTACTTGAGAAGGTACATGTAACTTATTTGGAAGAGGTTATCAAATCTACTGATACAAGAGATCTTAACTCATACACTGAGTAAAGATTGAAAATTTTTAATCAAAGTTTGGCCTTAAATTCCACTTTAAATTTGAAGATTAATTTTGTTTAAACAACATTTTAGGCCTCTCATATCTGTCAAAATCGTTTCACTTACAATTCAAAGGTTTCCCATCTTTTCTAATTGTCTACATTCTGCCAATGTTTCCCTTTCATTCGTTTTCCGGTTAGGTAATTTTATAGTATTTTGTTGCATTTTCCTTGTTGCAATATGATCAATTATGGTTTTAGAAGTGGTTTGTGGAACAATTGACATTGTTACAAAGTCAACGTTTCCTTCAATATGAGTGAGCTGTAAGTTCATAATATACCACAAAAAGCCCATCAATCTTGAAAAAATGGCAACGAATGGGCAAAAATTATAAGTTGCCAATCTTTTTTTTTCGATAATGTCCTTGCCGAAGCTATTTACCTTTTGAAATATTTAAATTACTTTGACACAAATTTCCTAACACCCCTACGCAGTATTGACGCGATTTTTTATCAGTCAAGGTTAAACGTCTATTGTAAAATTAATTGAATAAAGAAAAGGCATATTTTAACTTTAAACTTGTCGAGCTCGAAGAAAACGTGACGCAACGGAATGTTTAAGATTAACTGAACCCAAGCAGGTACGTATACGAATGACTCTTTTGGAAACATGCATAAATTACTCAAACTGCACTCACTTGTCGAATCTTAGTATGTAGACTTAATTTTCGTGTTTTTCTTGTCGCTAAAAATCGCGCGCTACCAACAGAAACCTTGAGGACGATATAACAAAGATGCGAAAAAAGGAAATTCTACATCAGGTGATCACGACACTTCGACCAGCAACAATGACTACTACGTCGATACACGCAGCAAGTGCGTTGTAATGACTCCACTCCAGCCCCTACAAGTGTTATCCCTAATTATAACTCAAAATAAAAATAGGTTTTCTCACCAAACTCCAAATGATTATCGCTGTCTTCATGATTCGAAGAGACGAAGGAGCTCCAATAAGCTTCACGGTAAGAAAAGTGGTGACTCAGCAAAATAGTTACGCCACTCTGTTCTGGAATCACACACAATAAAACAGTTTAAAACGAAGTTTGACCAGCTGGAAAAGGGTTAAGTTTCTGTAAAATATCAATATCATCACCATTGAGTTAGCGATCGACATCACATACTCAATACGCAAGGAGATTTAAATGACATTTCATGCAGACCGAGAGAGCGTTGCTGAAAATGTCAGAAACGTTCCACAAACTGTGAGAAGACGAAAATTTTACCTAAAAACAAATATACATACCACTGTTAGTGCTCAGTTTTCCAGCTAATTTTCACTCGGGATCACTTAACTGGTTGCTAACCCCCAAAACCGTAAAAAATTTCTATTCATTATATCATTATGACCAGACTGATTTTGAAAGTAGTCATCGGGGATTCCCCTAAAGGAAGGCTGTTGTTCTGATTGGCTATATGTACCATGGAAGACAACGCATGTCTTCATGAGAAAGGCCGCGATAAGCTTAGGGTCATGAGAAATATACCATATTTTATAGCTATATACCATATAAACGACAAAGCTATATTTCTTTTTGTCGAGAAAGTTGTCATCACTTAAGGTCATTGGATTCTTCGAGGTGCTTGTCTTAAATACTTGAGGCGCTTGGTTTACCTACTTGAGGTGTTTTCCTTACTTGACTCGATCTTACTTGAGTCGTTATTCACTTACTCGAGGTGCTTTAATTACTTGAGGTGCCCGACTTGCTTGTGGAGGAGGACAGGGGGGCGGGAGAGGGCGGGAAGCGGGAGCAGAAATAAAGAAGGCAATAGTTTGTTGTTTATTACTTGGCATTATTCAATCAAAAACATTTATCTAGCGAAGTTTTGAAATTTCCATTTAACATCCACTAATGCTTAAAAGAAAATTTAGGAAGCAAGAAAACGTAAATTTGTACTCGGGCTGGAAAAACAGCATTTATTCCGGTGAATTTGTAAATCCCTTCGATTCGATTACATCATAGGTCATGACCTGTAATAACTTTCACCGGGACCCAATAATCCCACGCCGAAACAAAGGCCAGAAAATGAACAAAAATGTTAAGTTTATGCACAGTTTGAAAGTTAAACCCAGGTTTCTGATCCTCTTGATTAACCTGAAGACAGGAGCAACACAATGAGGGGTGGGAGTCGGGAGGCAAAGGGGCACAAAACTACGGGAGGCGGGAGAACGTGGTACAAGGAGCGGGAGACTCTGAACCCCCTGTCTCCCCCCACTTGCTTGAGGTGCTTGACTTGCTTGAGGTGCCTGCCTGGCTTACCTAAGGTGACTTCCACTGCACTTTCAAAGATTCCAACTTTCTCGTTTTGGCCCAGCACCTCCCATTTCCCTTGATAATGTCCCATTTTTGTCAGTAATCTTTCCTTGGCAAAGGAAGATAATGTATTCCCTTCAAAAGTGGCCTTTTTAGCATTATTGTTGCCTTTTATGAGGCAATTCTGCCCTCTCTATAAGATGGAAAGGTTAAATTGTAAAGGCTGATAAGTATGGCTTGAAATTCTTAACCATTTAAGCACCTAAGAGTGAGTAGCATCTAATTTCTCCCTACTTATCACCCCTGAATAACACATTAAGGTCATTAGAATGAGGGAAATGATGCTCAACTAAAGAAGCTTTTGATCAGTAAACAAGTTCTCCTTGTCAGCACCTTAGGAAATGTATAAAGAACAGTATGGAGAATATGCATAATGACATTAGAGTGTAAAGGGTAAATAAATGAAACCCCACAGCTTGACCAACCTTCTTTGTGTTTATATACTACATTTTACTTGAAAGCAAATACTATTATTCGAAATACAGCAGGAACCTATTGTCCTCAGCTTTTACTGTGAGATTTAAAAATTTACCTTATTTTTCAGGGCAATTTTTATAGACTTTGATCTCAAAATGTAGATGGTATCTCAGAGGCCTATATGTTTACTTTTACTTCTTATTTTGACTCTGTATTTTAACTTTTACTTTCTGGAAGTAGCATGCTCAGACTCCCCCAAAGGCTCACATTCTATCTTCCAATTGCAAAGGGTTAGAATATCTGAAACCTTAGAATGTAGATGCTTTTAGCCTATGGAGCATACTTCCCCTTTAAGAAACACAGACTAGCATTTTTCAGTCTTACATGATAATTTCCAATTGGTTGTACTTCATTCTTAGGCCAGATTTCTTTCATTCAAGCTTGGATGAGGAAAGAAAGAAAATGTGGAACTAAAAGGTGTCTAAATTGCTATGAATTGTCTAAAAACCTTATGAGAGATGAGGCAACACACAACTTATGTGAGGAGAGTTATGACATTTTATTCAAATCCATCATCATGGTTGGGTTTTCAAGACAGCCATATTCCCCAAACAAATCCTCATATTTCCATTGTTGTTTACTAGCAGTGTAATTAATAATGAAAGATGTTAAACACTCATGCATACTTTCTCATTTGCATTTTATTCAAAAGTCATTACAGGTGAAATTACATGAAGTGAACAGTCCCTTAAAAGAAGTGCAGTGTACAAAAAAATTCCAATATGAAAGTAAAAATTAAATCAACCAGAACTGTTCAAAAACTATCATAAAAAATAAAACCACAAAGCCATCAACCCATTGGGAGGACTGTGATGCTCTATTGCAATAAAACATACCTATACATAGCTTTTTAAAGCAGAAAAGAGATCAGAGTAAAAGTAATGCACTGCATTTCAGGCTAAAAAATTGAATCTCAACACTAGTTCAGTTGATCAAGTACCTTTCGCTAGTGCACTTAATCTAACAATTTAAATAGAAAATCACTTGAATAGAAAATCATACAAAAAAGCCGTCAACCAATCAAGAGGATTGTAATGCATTATTATAATAAGTCATACTGATACACAGCTTTTTAAATCATAGATATAGTATCACAGTAAAAGAAGCATACTGCAGTTTTGCCTAAAAAATTGAATCTAAACACTATTTCAGCTACAAAGCTTTTTTAATGGACAAATATCTCAGAATAATCTCAGGTATAATTGAAAACGGTTTGTACGTGACATACTATGATCTATCAGTTTCTATTTGGAGTAATGTTATCATATTCATCAACCGTGCGAAGAATGCAAATTTTTGTGGGTTTAAATATGGAAAACTGTGTGAAATCAAGAAAGTAAATAAATAAATACATCATTGTTATTAATATTAGTTTGTAGGGTTTGAAAATGGATCCATCAAATTGAGTTATGTAAATGCATACATTTGTTTTGAGTTGCCTCTTTCTTCCTTACATTTAAAATTACTTTTCAGTTCTCCAAGCTGGGACCACTTTGCTAAAGAAAAAAATTTTGTTTGCAGTCATCTAATAAGCTGTAACATTTTAATTACCAAGAGTGTGGTTTTGAAGTGAGACAGACATTCTGTTTCACATAAAATAACATTGTCATATTGCCTAAAATGTCTCTTTCCACTTTTTTCTGGTGAGTATATGTAATACATTATTTTTGATGGTCATTTTATAACCTTAGATTGCCCAATGGCAATTTGGAAACAAGCTTGGAGCTCTGCTTGAAGCTGTTAATTGTACTTCATTTTCTGACAAATTGTAGTTTTGTAAGAAAATTTTCAGTCAAGGGAAAAACATAGACATATTTAAATTATTATTACCAATGAACAAATTTTTTAATTCACCCATTCTGCTAGACCTTTCCTCACATATCAACTAAAAAAATATTTGGTGAGTGTAACAACAAATTGTAGGACAAATCTACTTCTTCATCAATAAACTCTTGCTGCTTTCTTCGTAAAAAAAAACACTGAAAATTTCCATCGTTGATGGTTTTCTGAGTTAGACTATAAAAATTATGATTAATCTCATAGACACATCAGTAGGCTAGTTATTTAAATGAAGACTGCCTCAGGTTACACATGAGAAAATGAAATTTTGTCTAGATTTCTTTTTGTTAAGTGACATGTTTGAAGTAAACAAAAAAAAAATAATCTTAGTGTTTTGTACCAGAGCGTTGTTTGGTATCAGCTAAACAAGGAGGTAGTTGTTCCTGGTAGGGCATATGTACATACCTTCCTAGAGGCACATACACACCAAAGAGTTATTGGATTACCCTCTGTGTTATTGGAATCTTTTAACATTCAGACCAACCATTTATCTCATTGACTATGTCCTCCCTTCCCATCACCTTCAATATGTCTACAAAATCCCCAACAGTTCCTTCAGGTTTTGCTGCAAAAAATCTTTCTCCAAGGAGAACATAGGTAACAGGACCAGCCACCTTCTGTGTAGTGACTGCTTTTTGGAAACACTCAAAATCAAGTATTGTAAGTCCAAGCTTCTCTGCAAGCATTCTAATGTCTTTGCCATCTGTTCTTAGTATGTCAAGTGACAAACAAATACGATGCAAAAGCTGGAATGGCATATGCAAAATCTTGGTACTGTATTTTTCTTCTTGTGTTAACACTGACCAATTGACAGCTCCCAATGATTGCACACCCATACTGATCAGACCATTCCTGACAAGGGATTGAGGCCATAATTCAAGTGAAAGAAACTGGTTTTGAGGCTGCTGGAAAACTGTGAAAAAAAAGCACAATATTACTGCATTCTGGCTTCTTTTTAAATTGGATACCTTCAAGGCCTCTTAGCCCTTTCACTCCCAAGATCTGATAAGTAAATCTCCCTTCAAGCTACTGTACATTAATTATCCTTCAATATCACTTGGTTTGAAATTATTTTATATTATGTTTAACATGGTACTAACTTCATGCTGTATTACCTGAAAAAAATGATTCCAGTTCTTGAATATTTATATAAACGTACAATCACAGAGACTTCAAATGTCTGGTTTGCAATGAATTTTGTTCTTCCTTGTGTGGGGTATGGAGGCAAGGTTTTGTAATTTCAGTTTTCTTGAATTGTACATTTTGGCTTAATTCATGTACAAATTCCAAATTAATTGAGAATTAAAATGAAACTGAATACTCATAAGTACTTGGCACTAAAACTGACACTCACCCATGGAAGCAGGCACCAGGCAAGATACAATGTTTGGGTGTAATGTGTTCTTGTCAGTTGGTTGGTGTAAATCCCTTGGTGTTTCATCAATACAAGAAGGAGTACCTGGAAGCTGTGCTACTACCTCAACTCTGCCTGCTTGAGTTAAAATAGTAAATTACTAATAAACAAATTGAATTAGTTCCTGCAATACAAAGAGTTACTGTCAGCCTCCAAAAACCTTAGTGGTGGTTGATACTCATGGGTGTAATTGTAATTACGATAAAGCTAACATTTTTCCAAAAAAATTTATATACATTAACAAAAATAAAAAACAAAGAATCACAGCCTCAAGTTCATTTATCAGAACTGGTGCCTTAAAGGAGAATGGGAATATATCAAATGTCAGATTAGTGTCAGCTCTTGCTGATGCTTAACTACTAAGCATGAGGGCACCATATTTATCCATACTTTGGAGGAAAAATGAAACAGGAAGTGAGATAATCTGAATAATAATTAACACTATATTTTTCAAAGCTGCTGTGTGCATGAGTGCAAACAGTTTTGGTCAGTTTCTTACTCTTTACACTAGCAGCTGACATTTTGGAAATGTAGATCAATCAACAATAGGTTTGACAATAATTACCTGAACCATTATTTTCAGTCCCATGAGTCAAAGCTGATACTGTGTTTAGGGATTTGTCTCCCACCTCACTTGAATGGGCACCTCGATAAACAACATGGTTTGTTCCTAAATCAATGTGACAAGTTTCATCACCTTGCTCTGATTGGCCTGACAATGATGGGCCTGGCAAGGATGGAGGTGCATCAGCTGTAGTTTCTTCTGACTGACTTCTACCTTTATTTTTCTTTTGCAACTTAAACACAATAGCCACTGATAAGATCACAAGAAATACTGCACACAATATGTAAATGGTGGTGTTGTTTGAATACCTGCCAAGTGGTGGCAATATGTTTTCAGTGTTCGGGTCTTTAGTTGACTTAGATTCTCTATTTTGTATGATGCTGGAACCAACAGGAACGAAGGAGCTAGTGGCAGAAATGACCAAATTTGCTGTGGTGGCAGAAATCTGGGAGGCAGAGGTAACTATTCCAGATACAAAAATCGAATGACTTGTTTTTGAACGTTTCTGAGGGTGCTGTTGGATTTCCACACAATGTATATCTCTCTCATAAGGAATAGTCGCTCCGCAAGGAACAGATGAAGTTGAATATCCCTCAATGCATTCTGGGCAAGGGAAACAACTATGACATTTGCCTGTAGCATCAATTCTTTTTATCTCGCCCGTACAATCTGGGCATTGAGCCGATGCCACTTCCTCAGGGACCTGACAAAAAATGGTAAAATGGAGCATTAACAATAGCATAGTCAGGCGTGAAAGCAATGGTTATTAAGTCTATCATAATATAATGTAACCATAATGACTGCGTATTTTTGATGCAAAATCTTTCTCTTACTCATCGCAAATTCAACTTTGCATCAGCAGTTCTTTGCTTTAATCATAACAGTTAGGTGGCTAAGATAGCAGCACAAATTTATGTGGCAAAACTACACAAGGTTGACAACCTCGATCGATGGAATTCTCGAATCGTCACGACGAAACATTTGCGCTTGTTCTGACCACATTGTAGACGAAACATCCAAGGGAAATCAAATACAATCACATAAAAACATGATCCGGACCCATGGGCTACGAAAAATCTATCTAAGCAAGCAAAAGTTACAGTGAGGCCACTAGAGAGACGTCCTCCTTCGGGAAGGTCCGCCATGATGGCGGTCGAAATCAAGGCAGTGGTTGCCTATTAAGATGATTAATGTTATTAATTTGCCCAACGGATGATATAGCCTGACTCAATGCAGCTATATCATTATCGTCTTTCTCGACAGCATTATCCTAGTCAGCATTAGGGGCCGCTTGTTCGCAGGGAAGTTACTCAAACTTAAATGGATACAAATAAGTAACAAAGGCTATTACAAAGCCAAATGAAAAATCCACTCTTACCTTTGGTTACCTACATCTTGTTTGGGCAATTAGGTCTAAAGTTCTAAATAAATTACCAAATTTCAATGTCGATTCTAACACTAGAAATGTCGAAAATCGGTTCTACACACACTTTTAATCGCAGCCATGGCGGTTGGACGTTTTTCTTGGAGTTCCGTCACTTTATATGCTTTTCTGGTTCAGTTTCGCTTTTACTGTTGCTTCTTCGATGTCGAAGCCTTCGGAAAAGCCAATGAAATGCGTAGTGATGCTTCGGAGTGTGCCATGGATTGGCGAAAGGATTTTTTCTACCCGACTCTGGCTGCATTTCCTCCACGTGGTACGTATCATCGCTCCCACGGTAGAAGGTTCTTCTCAACTCGGGTTTCTCTGTATCCCAACTCAGTCAGCACCTTTAATTTGATAAGGCTCTCAACTAGTGGTGACATTAATCCTAATCCTGGTCCCCCACTTAACAGCCCTAAGTGCCCAATTTGCGAGAGAGCTGTCGCCAAAACTCACCGTGCAATAGAATGCGATATCTGTCTCCGTTGGTGCCACATAAAGTGTGGAAGAGTTAACCCAAGTGAATACAACAAACTTCAACTCCTCGATCATTTCTTCTGGAACTGCCCTTTCTGTGAACTGAGGGCTCTTCCCTTTGCCGACGCCAGTTCTTTTGACTTAAACCTTGACGATGACGTGGTGTCTGAACCTGACGAAGATGTTTTCACTACGTTAAAGACTACGATGGGCAACAACAAGAACTTAAAGATTGGACACATAAATATCAATGGTCTTACTAATAAATTGTCTGAAATTCAATTCCTATTAAAAGAGGTTGAATTCGACATCCTGGGCGTTACTGAGACCCACCTGACCGTAGACCTATCAAATGAATTAATAAGAATATATGGTTATAACACGGTGAGAAGAGATAGATCAAATGGCTTGAAAGGTGGCGGCGTGGTAATATATTATCGCGATAATTTGAACATTTCTGAAAACCTAAAGTGGGACATTCATCAGGACTTGGAGGCTGTATGGATTAACATTACCATAAGATCACAGTCTACTTTACTTGGCTGCCTATACCGACCACCTAAATCAATCACGTTTTATGATGACTTACATGACCTGCTTAATAAAATATGGATCAAGAGGAAGAATGTCATATTATTAGGTGATTTTAACTGTAATCTCTTAGCTAATACGGCAGATACAGATCAAGATGCGCCATATGACTGTAATAGAATGAAAAGAATTCTTAGGCGTTTTGGTTACGTTAACGTCATTGAATCACCAACGCGCATCACAGCTAACTCTAAGTCACTTATCGACCTCATTATTGTTAGTCCTAATTTGCATGCATCAAATGTCTTAGCTGGTTCTATTGACCTGGGCATTTCAGACCATCATCTTATATTTGCTGCCTTTTCTACAAGGAGGAGTAATTCAAAGCCTAAGCTTATTACAGTAAGGAACTATAAGGATATGGATAATGAAAAATTCCAGAGGTCCTTAGAGGAAGCTCCATGGCATATTGTGTCTGCTGTAGAGGATGTTGAGGACAGTGTTTACTTATGGGAAACCATGTTTAAAGACATTATAGAGTCCAACATCAAACGAAGGAATGTGAAGGTCAGACACAAGTCACTTCCCTGGATCAATACCGAAATCAGAAAGGCTATGAATCAAAGGTATAAGTGTTTAAAAGCTGCTCAAGGTAAACCCCATGATAATCCTCAGTGGGACATCTATAGAGCTAAAAGAAACGCTGTTAGAAGTATGCTCAGAAAAGCTGAGGCCTCTTACTGGATTGGGCTATTTAAAGAATCTTCTTCACCTAAAGATTTCTGGAGAATATCTAATCGTATACTTGGTAAGACCAAAAGTGATAAAATTGGTCCCCTACAAGATTCTAATAACACTATTATTTCAGATGATAGGCAGAAAGCGAATTTGATTAATAACTATTTTATTGATATTGCACATGATCTTACTAAGAACTTGGATCCAGTACATTTAGATACTACTTTTTATATTAATAGAATTACTCCCACTATAGAGAATTTTTCTTTGAATTGGGATATAGTTAGAGATGTTTTGAAGTCTATTAATCCAAACAAAGCAGTAGGCCCTGATAATATTTTTCCTAAAGATCTTAAATTGGCACAGGACTCTGCTATTCAGGGTCTGCTAGAGGTGTTCAAAAAAGCATGGACTGTTGTAAGTTCCCTCAACAATGGAAGGAGTCATTAGTTACACCTGTTTTTTAAGAAAGGGAACAGGCTGGATCCTAACAATTACCGACCTATATCCTTGCTTAGTACACCAGGAAAGCTTCTTGAGAAGGTAGTGTGTGACTCACTTGATGATCACATGTTATCCAATGGCATTCTCACAGATAGACAATGGGGATTTAGGAGGGGCTATTCAACGGAGAGCCTCCTCCTTCATCTCACTGAGTCCTGGGGAGTGCCCTGGATAGAGGCCATAAGGTTGGAGTCTTATTCATTGATTTCCATAAAAGCTTTTGATTGTGTCAGCCACAGTATTCTTACTGAGAAACTCAAGGCTGTTGGCTTGGCAGGTGATATGTGGAAATGGATCAATGACTATCTCTCCAACCGTGTACAAGGGACTAGTGTAAGTGGGTCTAGATCTGATAGAATCCCCATTAGAGCTGGGGTCCCTCAGGGATCCTTACTAGGACCAAGATTGTTTGCATCTTATGTTAATGACCTCCCTGAATCTATTACCAGTGGAGAAGTCTATATGTATGCTGATGACACAACAATATATGTAGTAGGGAATACTGTTGATGAAATAACAACAGGGTTACAGGCTGTTTTGGACCAGGTTAATTCCTGGTGTCTTAGTAACAGATTGATTCTACATGAAGGTAAATCCGAGGCAATGGTCTTAAGTACTACCCCTTCATAGGTCCTTTGAAACAGCTGAAGTGGGGTATGGACACCATTCGGTATGTGTCCTCCACCAATTGCCTTGGGGTTACAATTGATGATAAACTCTCTTGGTCTCAGCATGTTGCATTGGCTAGATCTGCATTTAATGCCAAAGTTAAAATGTTGAGACGTATAAATTTCCTATGTACATCTATCTTGGAGACTTTTTACTATAGGATAGTTA